AGTTGGAGTCATGCACACTGACATCAAACCAGATAATATCATGTTTGTGGACCACCAACACCTGCCTTTCAAGGTCAAGCTAATTGACTTTGGTCTTGGTTTACTTACACGTGAGGCAAAAGTTGGTATGAAGATGCAGGCACTTGTATATCGTTCTCCAGAGGTCACCTTAGAGCTGCCACTGACAGAGGCTGTAGACATGTGGGGCCTGGGCTGCTGTCTGCTGCACTGGTACCTCGGCTGCTACCCTTTCACTGCTCAATCGCCCTATGACCATCTAAAACAGATTGTTCATTTAATGGGTGTCCCTGATGGTGAGCTTATCGAACGGGCTAAACGTGGAGATGATTACTTTGTCCGAGACGGATCAAAGTGGAGACTACAGACTCTGAGGGAACATGCAATAAAAATTGGCAAGTTTCCTCAGATGATTAAAAGCAATCTAGGAGCCGCCAAGGACCTTGAGGATGTTATCATCAACTTTTATAACATACAGTCGGGGCTGGAGTTTGAAGACAGAAGAGGTTTTTTAGATTTGCTCACCAAAATGTTTCATATGGACCCAGATAAAAGGATTACCCCACAGGAAGGTCTTAGACATCCATTTATCACAATGAGCCACCTACAAAGTGCTTTAGGTTACATTGATGATTCCAAAAGTTTAATGACCTTCAATCCAACAGATTCAGTCATTCAGAGAAAAAAGGAGCAACCAATATCATGTTCGTACTCTGGACTTGTTTCAGTGACACCTGATTCCAGTAATAAGGTTTCATTTAAAAATGGGGATTCTTCAAACCATAGATCGAGTCTCTCGGTCAAGTTGATTTTCCTCAGCCAACCTTCATCAGCGAGGCAGGATCAGCACCTTTCATTTAGCTCAGTAACAGAAGACCCTGTAATCTTTCAACCTGATGATGCCAGAGCAGACCTGAAACCTGAACCCATTTACCAACCTCCACCGCTGAGTCACGTTCACAGAACCTCCATGAGATCTTTGGATGCACTCTTTAGACCATTAATACTATACTCTGCTGACATGAAACAGGATTCACAGACTCCAATAGACTACTGTAGTCTCAGCGTGAGTTCCTTTTGTGACTCTTCCAATCAGAGCACACATGGGCCCGCAGTAATCCTGCAACCTGATGATACCAGAGGGTCTGGACAGTTTATGTGTTCCAACGTTGTATTGAGACCTGCTTTCTCTAATAAGGTTTCATTAAGAAATGGGGATTCTTCAAACCATGGATCGAATCTGCCGGTCAAGTCGATATTCCTCAGCCAACCTCCATCAGCAAAGCAGGATCAGGACCTTTCATTCGGCTCAGTAACAGAAGGCAAAATAATCTTTCAACCTGAGGATGCCAGATCAGACCTGAACCCTGAACCCATTTTCCAAGCTCCACCACTGAATCACTTTGGCATAAACTCCTTGAGATCTTTGGGTGCACTCTTTAGACCATTAATACTACACTCTGCTGATATGAAACAGGATTCACAGACTCCACTAGACTACTGTAGTCTGAGCGTGAGTTCCTATAGTGAATCTTCCAATCAGAGCACACAAGGACACACAGAATTTGACCGAGTCGAGGAAAGTCCAGGACCTGTGAGCCAGGAGATTGTGGAATATAATGATGGCGGTCTGAGCTTTGAAAATGCATCATGGGCATCTTCAAACTTTGAGGCAGAAAGGTCAATGTCATCTCAACATAATGACATGCAGTTCACATCGCAGCTTCCAATAGAATATAGTAATGTTCGAGTAGAAGCTTCATACGAATACTTACAGGAGAACTCAAATGACAACAATATTTGTGACTTTCCAGAGGAGAATACAGATGATGACTTCTGGATGGAAAGAGAAGAAAGTCCAGGTCTCGTGACTCAGAGAAGTTATGTATCTTTGAATGACTGGTTGAAACAGGCCGGCCTTCAAAGTTTGACAATATCAACTCTAAATCTAAGTGTGGACATCGACGTAGAAAGATCTTTGTTGTCTGAATCTAATGACATACAGTGGATATCACAGTTTCCACAAGAGGACATTGGCCCCAGAGTAACGGAAACATATATGTGTGACCTCGCGGAAGAGAACACAGATGTGGGCTTCTTGATTGAAAGAGAAGGCAAAAGTCCAGGACCAGTGAGCCAGAGAAGTTATCGATCTTTCGAGGACTGGTTGAAACGGGGCTTTCAAAGTCCAACTCTTATTCTAAGTGAGAACTTTGAAGTAGAAAGCGCTGTCGTATCTAAAAACAGTGATCTTCAATGGATATTACAACTTCAGATAGAGAAAATTGGTCCAGAAGAAAGAATATCAACTATTGCTAAACTTCCAGACGAGAACACAGGTGATGACTTCTGGAAGGAAAGAGAAGGAGAAAGTCCAGGACCAGTGAGCCAGATAAGTTATCAATCTTTGGATGACTGGCTGAAACAGGGATTTCAAAGTTTAACAATATCATCTCCAAATATACTTTTAAGGGAGGACTTTGATGTAGAAATATCTGCCATATGCGAAAATAGTGAAATGCAGTGGATATCACAAGATATCATCTTAGAAGAGGACTCAGATGATGACTTCTGGATGGAAAGAGAAGGAGAAAGTCCAGGACCAGTGAGCCAGAAAAGTTATCGATCTTTGGAGGACTGGTTGAAATCAGGCCTACAAAGTTTAACAAAATCATCTCCAAATCTATTTTTAGACTTTGAAACAGAAATATCTGTGTTGTCTGAATGCAATGACATGCAGTGGATATCACAGTTTCCACAAGAGGACATTGGCCCCAGAGTAATAGAAACATGTATTTGTGACCTGTGAAGAGAACACAGATGAAGACATGTGGATGGAAAGAGAAGGAGGAAGTCCACAGCATGTGAGCCAGATAAATAATCTACTTTTGGATGATTGAAACGTGCCTTTCAAAGTCCAAATCTACTTTGAGTGAGGACTTTCAGGTAAAATGTTCTGTGATATCTGAAAACAGTGACACACAGTAGACACAGTAGAGCTCTCCAAGTTCTCAAACATCCATTTGTGTTTGAGAAGTCGGAGAAAATGACAGCAATTATATCAGTGGATAGACCATAGCCCAACAAGCCAAGGTGGGTATTAAAGAAAAAAACATTCTGCTGCAACTTAACCATTGTCTGTGAAATAGTTTTACAGGCAATGTGGATAATTCATAATTCATCACGCTGGATGATCTGGTGGCGCTGCCCTGCTCCTCGTGAGCTAAAGAACAAGCTGAATCTTGAAAATGCAATAAAAATTATAACGGATGTTGTATCACTGTTTTTTTTTTACATTGTGCAAGTAGCAAATTGTGGAAACTGTTTGGTACTCATCATTAGACCCTAAAATAGCTCTCCAAGTTAGTTCTGAGAATGTTTACATTCAAATAACTTTTACTTTTTTAAATTGTATTAGAACAACGTCATTGTTCTCTTCTACCCCTAGATGGGGTGGGTCACTGCTCAAGATGTTTTCTAAAATGCCAAAAAGATGTATGCGGTAATGTTTAACAACCAAACTTCATTTGGCATAATTCAACGTCTCATTTATAGTCTGTGCACGTGGTCTCGCCGCGACTTGCAGTCTTTTACCCCAGTTTTCTTCAGCTTCTCTCTGCGGATCTTGGACTTGTCAAACAGCTCATTGAAGTGTCAGCTCCATCACATCAGTCTGTAGCCGACCTCAGCCAGCAAGCGTTCCATCCAGATGCACTTTGTGCTGTGACACCCATCCCAAAACAACAAGGGTAAGGCGGATCCACATGACACTTATCGAAAGAGGATATAGGGTCATCCCCAGAATGCACTGTGCTTTGAAGTGGTGAGGAGGTCACTTGTAGAGCCACTGGACTGAACGAACAGGGAACAGCCCCAAAGCAAAACGAGTGACAAGAGCAATTTTAAGTCAATTCTCAGGGTTTGCAAGAAAAGTAATAGCGTTGGTCCTATTTGGCGAACAAATCTAATGCAGACATGGTACGTTAGCTAGTTCCTCACTCTCCAAACAGTTCTATCACAGACAGAAAAGAGGACAACGTGGTCATATTAAATAATGAATGGTAGAAAATGGAAGATATACAAGACATACTGTACATAATCTCCCTCCCTCTGGGGCTCCATGCAAGATCTCAGCCCGTGAGGTCAAAATGATCATGAGAACGGTGAGCAAAAATCTAAGAGGCACATAAGCGGACCGAGTGAATGACCTGCAGAGAGCTGGGACCAAAGTAACGAAGGCCACCATCAGTAACACACTACTCAACACAACCTGTTGTGTTTGGACAGCCTCAAAACATCAGTGCTCTAGAGGAGATCTGCTTGGAGGAATGGGCCAAAATACCAGCAACAGTGTGTGAAACCCTTGAGCTCTTTCATTGCCAACAAATGGTTTATAGCCAAGTATTGAGATTAACTTGTCTTATTGAGCAAATAAAATCTTGATTGATTTTCTCTTTTTTATTATTATTATTATTTCAGTCTGTCTCTCACAGTTGAGGTTTACTTATGATGAAAGTTACAGCCTCATCTTTTCAAGCGGGAGAACTATTTGTGGCTGACTAAGTACATTTTTGCCCCACTGTAACATTGGTGTAATTATTGTAATGTATAAACTCATCTATTTGTTGTTCTCTACAAAAACTTGTCCATGTTCCGTCATCATACAAAAAAAACCCGAAAAAGTAAGAAAAATTAGAATCATGCAAGGACAACCATACATATTCACTGTAGTTTAAAACTAGACAAGATACAATCAGTTCACACAAGTAGAATTTTGTCACCCAGTCAGAATGACTGTTCCAGATTTTAGCTGCATAAATCTGGAGACCAGGCCCTGTGCTCCTCTGAGTCCACAGATGTACTTTGGTGTGAAGCCATGGAGAGACTTGTACATCGTTTTTTGGGCTATGCAACAGAATGCTTTTTGAATGCTGATGTTTGCTTAATTCCTCTGGTGTGTGTTTTGTATGTGTTGTGTATAGTTCCGGCTGTGGCTGCTGGGCCTGGGCTTCAGTCTGGCTTATGGGAGCATGTTCACCAAGATCTGGTGGGTCCACACCGTCTTCACCAAGAAGGACGAGAAGAAAGACCGGAGGAAGGTAAGCATATTTTTCAAATTAAATTTACTCTTTCAATTCAATTCCAATGAATGTTATCTTGTATAGCCCTAAATCACAAAAGCCGTTGTCTTGGAGGACCTTTGCCAGAAGTTTGCCAGATTTTCCAACAACAGATACAATAATAACAAACATAGCAGCCATTGGTTCATAGATGTTAATAAACTTAAATGTCCCGAATCATCATTGTCTTATAGACCTCTTGCATTGGCATGGAAGAAGTAAAAGTGGGAAAAAAGGCCCACTTTGAGAGAGGGATCCAGTCCCATGGCTGGATGGGCTATAGATCCAAGACTCAGCCTGTAGAACGAGGACTCAGGTTGTTCGATGCAGGACTGAAGAGATTACCAGGCATGTCGAGGGGAGCATGTCACTAGTCCGGGCTGAGAGTGCAGTTGAAAGATGCCGGATTCACAGGTCGCATTATCAGGCCATGAATCAGACAATGGGACAGGGAGTGAATAGCAATGAACAGACCTTGGTCATCGAGAGGTTAGAAGGCATGTAAGATTTGAGAAAAAGCCAGTGAATGTTCAGCACTGCTGTTCATTACTGCTTGTCATGAATACTCACTTTTCAAGGTAAAACCACCTTACATTGAGCTACAGTAGGATGATCAAAACAAGCATTTCGCATTAAAGCTCCCATGATCAGAGGCTCATACACTTTCCATGTGAACCTTCATGGCAATCACAGAGTAATCCATAGTTCTGGCACCAATAGTACGAGTGTGGGTTCCCGTCTCATGGCTGACCACATGGCCGTATCATTTGGGTTACCAGTCACTTTGGCGATACACCTAGATTCCAGCACTGCAGGAGTGTATGATTAATAAGTAATCAACAATTTCTTTGGTCAAAATTTCACCTACGGCCTGATAGACAAGACACAATGTAACTGCACTACATGTAACTACATTCTGTGACGCTAGTCTACACCCACCCCTTCTGTCTAAGCTCTCCTTTCTCATACTTTACACAACAACAACTCCTGTTCATTGGCCCTATTGTGACATATTCTGGGCTTCCTCTCGTACGGACACTTTGAAATGCAGTTTATCCTCTCTCCACTCATCCGGAAACTATTTTTATACTGTAATTGGACCTTGCCTTGCCTTAACACTAAACAGATGAACGTTGGGCTGGTCGATGGCCTTTCCAGACACACACCTCTGTCCTCTTGTACAAATGGTCCAATTATGAAGAGGCACAGCTCCCCGCGCGGTCCCACCGTCCACTAAACACCACACATCTCTCATTGTTTGTCCCTAATAAGCGCCAATGTTCTGCATGCTTCAAGGTCGCCTAAATGAAGTCAAATGGATTGTATTCCCCGTACGCAGAATGGACTCCTGCACTGGGGCAGAACTGATGCTGCAGTGGTGCCCTTGGGCAAGCGGACGCGTAGCAACTATGTGTCATGGGCTATGCTGGAAGTATAGTTCCAGGATTCCTGTTCATCAATACACACTGTCCCAAACAAATCAACTATTACATGACTTAATACTGTATCTCTGCGTATCGGGGTCTGCATTATGAACTCTACGCTGATGAGGGCATGTACTGTATGTACATCCATCCATCCATTTTCTTTCACTTTATCCATTGCTGGGTCGCGGGAGCAGAAGATTGAGCAGAGACGCCCAGACATCCCTATACAGACACACTTCCTCCAGCTCATCCGGGGGGATCCAAGGCTCTACTCTGAGCTTCTCCGCCATAGGGGGGGGGGGGGAGCAAAGATTGAGCGGTTAATCGAGAGCCCTGCCTTTTGCCTCAGCTCCCTCTTTACCACAACGGTCCAATACAGCTACTGCATCAGTGTGCACGCTGCACCAATCTACCTGTCAATCACACGCTGCATAATTTTTTCAGTGTTTGAACTCTTTTATTCTCTGATCTATGTTGGTGAATCAGCAGTTCGTTAAGAGAAAACTGCTGTTGTGATTTAGGGTTATTAACTCATTGTCGCAGAAATGCGTCAAAGCAAATAGTAAGGTTGTGTGCCATTGATGCATTAATGCGTCAAATGCGGATGTATGGGGATTAGCTTTAGAGCATATTTTATCGAGCCAGCAGGTGGCACCAGAAGCTGCCTCTGGATGTTTTGAAAACAGGATGCACTTGTTGCACCTCTTTTTCTCAGCTTTTTCTCTGAGACTGGTGATTTCAGTAAAACTTCTACTCGATTGGGGATTACAGAGGAATGAAACAAGCTTGAAACAAATTATTTTTGCTGATGAAAGTAGACAGTCCATTCTTTCAAAATCTGGTTCGGAATTGTGTCAAAGTACACAATATTCGGTGGGTCTTTAAAAATCAATAAAAATCATCAGAAACGGCTCGCAATATGGGAGTACCTTTTCTGAGATGGTCTGGCAGGCAATGAGTTAAAACAATGAATTTAATTTAATTGAATTTGATAGTAGTAGTAGTAGTTTTTGTAGTACTAGTAGTGGTAGTAGTAGTAGTTTTATTCATATATTGTCTAACTTTATTTATTTATTTATTTGCCTTGTTATGTTGAGAACTCCAGGATTTTTGATTTTTGGAATTCTCAAGGGAAACTGTATTTCCATGTAAACCACAGTATATTGAGGTACAGTACAATAATTAAAACAAATAGTTATCTTCAAAGGCTCAGAGTTGGAAGCTTATAGTTGCCTGGTTTCTGAGACAACAGTGAGGAGGTGAAGAGGACATGAAGGAATTGACCGTCGGGATGTTGGATTATATAGTGTTTGTTTATACATGAAAGAAGGAGCTGCAGTGTTTGGCTTTGGTTGAAGTCAGTATAGACCACTGAGTAAAACATGACCAACAATCCTAGGCGACAAAATAACACACTGGTAACAAGATAAAAGTACATAATGCTCCAAGTGGATGATAAACTTACCATAATCTGTTTTCCCATGGTGAAACGCAAAGACGGGTCAAAACAACATGCTAACCTTCCCCACTGTTCTTCCACAGCGTCACTGTGAGAAAAATGTAGTTATCTTGCCTCTGTGGTTTGGCTGTAATACATTGTATACAGATAGATAGACCATATATGTCATATTGTTTTTTCCAATGTAACAGTTGTGTGTGAATGTCCAAGCAGTGAAAAACGTCCCCATACTTTGATACTATTTCTTTGTGTCTTTTCAAAATATCTTTTAATTCCTTTTTTCTTCTTCCACTGCTTTCTTTACACTAAAATCTGCCTTCTGAAACATTGTCCTCCAGGCTCTCCATACTTGCTGCCAATACTTTACAGATCTAAGAAAAAGTCAAGGATTTTTGCTTTAAGAAACCAGCATCTATGCTAATTCCTGAAATGAGTGTAGCCGAACGAGACGAGGCGCTTTTCATGTGGGATTATTTCATCAAGAGCTGCGCGTGACTCATGTCCCTGTGCTTTCCCAGTGTGTCCATGTCCTTGTGCATTCAGTTTGTCTGTGTCCCTGTGCATTCCAAGTTTGCGAATATCTATGTATATATATATATATACATATATATATTTATATTACAAATATTGTATTTTATTCAATGAATGAACGTACTGAAGTAATGGTAATGCACTTTTTTCTTTTTTATTACATATGTGTTTCATTGGCTTTTATAAGTGAATGCTCAGCCAATGTTCTATAAGTGAACTACGATATTGTCTTTGTGCTCCAAACATGAAACAAGCAACCAATCTTAGTTTATTGTCACTAAACATCACTGAACTAAAAAAAATACTATCTCGCTGCAAATGGTTTAGTGTTTTAGCGATTGTGTGTGATATCACAAAGCAGGACGAGCTTGCTGCAGCCCTGGATCCAAACGCTTGGTAAAAAGTGTTACTTTTGCAGCGTAGCTACTGCGCTCAATGTCCACGACACTTCATCTAAGTTTCTGTATTTCTGCTTTGTCTGGTGATGTCGACTCACATTTTACTCAAATTAAATACACCTCTGACTTCAGCAGTAAAGACATAGCAGTGTAATTGCCGTTGAAAATCCTCCGTTCGGCCTCGACCTTTCTTTGTTTATCAAGAGCGGACATTATTGAGGGCTGCAAGTGACAAGTGAACGATCCTCGAATGTCTTCATAAGACAGGAGCTGGCCGAGAACACACCACTACTTTGCGGGGGCCGCGAAAGCATTGCAGATGCGTCAAAGCAGCGCAGATAATGACAGAAAAAAGTACACTTTTTATGAAAAATTAGGTATGGGCCGGATTAAATTGCTTGGTGGGCCGTATTTCACCCTGGTCTGCTGTACACAGGGGTTCAATTGAAGTTGTTGACATCACCTTTAACACATCAATCAGGCTGCAACCAATCTGTAAATACAATAACTTTTTTTTCATCCTTGATACACATCCTGAGATTTAAGGTGCAGTATTTGGAAAAATCTGCTAGAACCTGATTGAATTGAATCAGTACTACACAAGACATAATCCTTTTCTTAGTTTCTTGCGTCTATATCCAGCCCAGGTGTCAGGCGCTCTCATGTGGACAATGCAATATCATTTAATACAAGTGTCCCTCACTATGCACACGTCCACATATATCTGTATCTGTATGGATGTATGTGTTCTCTCAGGGGCCGCGTTGTCATGGCCCACTGCCCACACTCTGATTGAATTGGCCCCTGTTAGTGATGGATCAGTGTTTTGTGCTCTGTTTGTGGCTTCGTAAATCCTCCTCCAGGGAATCAAAGGCTGCACGATTTACTGAGTTTGGACCAAGGTTTTCCTGGCGGCACTGGACTGTCACAACAGACTGTGATGAATGGGACAGAATATAATGCGATAAACATGACACCTTATATGGAAAACATTTTAATGTATTTATCATCACAAGAGGAGGTCATGGATATTTCAATCATCTGTCATTAGTTTGTCAAAGATACTCAAAAGATGCTCAATGAAAAAACCAATAACCAATGACCTTTTTAAGAATATTTACCTCCTCCATGTTTTTAAATTGTTGTAATAGGCTTAGAATTTGA